GGAGAGGGTGCGTTGTCTGGCGTGATTAATTGTCTGAACAAGGCCAGCACGTTCAAACCCTCGGTCACGATGACTTATGACTTTGCGTTAGCACAACCGTCGACGGCTTCCAAGAGTTCCGTCTGCCCAATTTTACTGACACGGATTGGGTCAACCTGTGGCATGGTTTTTCAGGTACTTTCCAAAATTGTCGCAGGCTGGGGTCACCTCCTTCTGACCGATAATACCAAGAAGTTATCTTCATGAGAAAACGACCAGGGTGGGATTCGAAACCGGGCCTCAGAATGCGAACGTTCTAACGACTCGGCCACGTGCCCCAAACCACTAAATATTACATAGTTTTTTTTTTTAAGCATTTCACCCCAAGCAAGGCGGGAAGCCACTAGGACACAAGCGGTTACAGAAAATTTGGAGCAAGATCAGATAGGAGTGATAGAAGAAAGGATGAGGAGAAGGGTAGTGGATAGATCAAGGCAACTGGAGATGTCGATTGACATTACATTTGAATAGCTGGCGATTATAGCTCTCAGTGAAACTGGAATAGGGAAGGGATTTCCACAGGCGAGAGGTGCGAGACATGAAGCTATTAGAGTAGAAGAGACGGCTACATTTAGGAGTTTCGACAGTGAAGGGGTGAGAGCGGGATGCCAGCCTCGTAGGGTGCTGGAACTCATGACGTCTGCGAACCAGCGAATGCAGCTCCTCGGAGCAATTACCATGAAAGTATTTGTAGAACAGACAGAGAGAGGCGACGGCGCGTCTGTAAGAAAGTGACTGTAGACGAGGCAAACAGAAGGGGCACCAGACCATATATGGCAGCAATACTCGATATAGTAATAAGAAATTATATCAAATTAGAAGACCAATCTGAATATCACAGGAAACAAGGAATATTTTTTTTTTAATTTATAGTTTCGAGAAGGGACATTACTCTTCTGGAAACTATAAAATCTTTTAATATTCTTATTTTTCTAACATTCAGATAGTCTTTTAGACGAACTAATATTTTTTCCGGATAGAAATCAGATTTATCACAAACAATTCGGCCAGAGAGTCCAAATTTTACCCAGCAGAAACATTCACCCCTTTGCAGTTTTTTTGTGTATGTTATGTACTAGTGAGCCAGTCCAAATGACTTGACTAATTTTATAGTCTACCAATAGAAGGTTAACCAATCAGAAGACGTAGAATATTCAATCCGTCGTGTATAAAGGCGGCCATTTTGTTTACTCTATCGGAATGTCCAGTGCCAGCTTATCAGGCGAAGAGGAACAGAAGAAAGAACTACGCTCTGCTACTTTACCGGGATATCCACTGCTAACCTGAAATACGCTTCCCTACTGTTTTCGAAATATTCACTGCTAACCTCTGGATTCTATACTCGAAGACGATCGTCATCATGAACAACACGCCCAAGCAATTTTAATAACTTTAATCCCTATTTATCTGCAAGAAAGGATTCGACTTGAAAGTCAAGAATATTACCTTTTTCCTCGCTATGGTGACCCGTACAGAAATCGCCCCATCAATAAGATGTCAGTAGTGGTAGTAGGAAGATATCCAAAGCTGCGAAGCATGCAGTCAAAGGTGTCTATACCAGCAGAAGCAGGAAGAAAAAAATAAAATAAGGCTTAAGATTCCAAATTCTAAACTCAGGATTGTCCCACTATAGTAACGCCGTTGAACAATACTGGTGTTAGACGACTCGCTATTTATGCGTTTTCTTTATGGTTACGTGATCTACTTAATTAAAAATGGGATCGCCTGTGTTTGCTCTCTGGCGATTCGTGTTCAAACTCCAGTTTCGGCAACGACACTTTATTCCTATATAACAATTGTGATCCTCACTAGGTGTCCTATACTTCTTATCTTGTCGCTTATTAAGCTAAAGTTACAGGCCACATCGCATAATTAATACGCAGGCTAATTAAAAATATCACTATATCAAAGGGAAGTCGATAATCAGTGTTTCGTACACTGGGCGATATTGCCCACCCGTGGACGATTTCAACTGTTGGGTGAGCGGTAGGGATCTGAACAGAAAATTTTGAGTAACTGGAAAGTTTGGTGGGCGATATAGGAAGTTAAGTATTAAAAACGTATTTCAACACATGCTACCCCTTAAAAATATTCAAGGGAGATATTCTAAGAACCTGTATAAAGAAAGTAAAACAGGGATCAAAATGGGAGTAACTGCGACACTTTCCTAGATAAGATATAAATATCCTAGCAAGCAATGAATATTTTGATATTTTCAATAGTTTCGAGAAGGGTTATTAATATTCAAATAGTCTTCAGACGAAATAACATTTTCTTTGGATATAAATCAGATAAGTGGAGACCAAGAGAAAAAAAACATTATTGATTGAATCTTTATTAGTTGCTAGTAGTGTATATATATGTTTTTAATTTTAATTTCATGAACAAATATCTTTAAAGTTTTTGTCGATACTTGCAACACTAATCCTAACCATGAAACTAACCTTTACTATAAAACTAAATCATATATATATATATATATATATATATATATATATATATATAGTAGTAAATATACACATACATATGCAAAATATATAAATATATATACATACATGCATACAAATACATATTTTATTTTAATAAAAAGATTCCAATAGAATAGAATCCAAGTAGAACTCAATGCCAGGACAGAGTAAGGATATAATAATAAAAAGGCTTGTTTAAGCCTTTTTATTATATATATATATATATATATATATATATAGATAGATAGATAGATAGATAGATAGATAGATAGATAGTGTTGTAGAGTAGTTTTCACGATTGCAGCTTGTATTTCAATAAGTCGTCCTAAGTTAGGTTCCGACTTACAAAACGTTAGGAACTTGAAATAAGAGTTAATGACGCAGAGAAATCTAGTTGTGATGGTTGATACTTCAATGCCCGACATCGACTGACTCACTCAACACCACTGAGCTCAACTGGCGACCGCTACTACTACTACTTATTATGTGTGGGAGAGTCTATTGATAATAGAATTGGTACGTTCAGTTATGATAGATAGATAGATAGATAGATAGATAGATAGATAGATCAATGTTGAAATATGTTTTTTTAAGCGTGTTATTATTAACGGATACAAACTTTTGGAGCGTGCAGTCGTAACGCTAAGGTTTAATTTTTTGAAAATTTAAGGGAGTGCGTTTTTTTACTAATATGGCAACTTGAGAATTTTTTTTGTTCTTGTAGGTGTTTATCAGTCAATGTGTTCATGCCACATTGACTGATTTGTCCAAAAACTAATATTCCAAAACTATATATATATATATATATATATATATATATATATATATATATATATATATTTTTCAATGGTCAAAATTGCTTTCATTTTTTCTTTAATACGGTAGTAGCAACAGCAGCAGCTGATGCATAAGCCAACGGTCAGTTTACGAACCAGTAACAAACTTTTAACAATTTTTGTATGCTTTTGAATATTTACTATAAAGGTGGGCGGTGTAATTTTGTTCAATGTGAAAGTGGGCGATGGCGGAAAAAAATGATGGGAACCCCTGATTTGCATTATTTACATTCGGACTAATGTTTTCATCCTTTTTTTTATTTTAAAAACATTCCAAACGTTGTGCCTCCGGCCTTCATCAGGTGTCTGTTGATCCGCGTAACTTTCAGACAATATCATTCTGAACCCTCAATCGACGTACAGGATCATTTATCTTTAGTATTGCTCTCTTGATTGCTTCTCCTGTTTTCACTAAATTATTCTCCGTACTAACAAGGAGTTGATACAGGAATCAACACTTTAATCCAGTAAGCAACTCTCCCGTGGGACAATCCTGAGTTTAGAACTTGGAATCTTAAGCCTAATTTTCTTTCTTTTGCTTCCTGTTTCTGCTGCTACTGACACTCTTGACTACATTCCCAGCGGCTTCGGATGTCTCTACTGACACCTTCCTTATGGGGCGTCGAGGGAAAATCGAATTAACTTTTCAAGCGATTATCTGCGTTCTGTAGCGGTCACCATAGCGAGGAAAAAGGAAATACTTTTGACTTTAGATTTAGCATTATGGGATCAAGTCGAATCCTTTCTTCCAAATAAATAGGGATTAAAGTTATTAAAAATGCTTGGATGTTTTCGTGCGAACCGAATATTTCTGCTAGGTAAAATTTGGACTCCATGACTGAATTGTTTGTGTTAAATTAAATTTAAATCCCAAATCCCGCAGACAGCCGATTTAACAAAGAGAAAGAAAGAAAAATAAATGAAATATATGTGTTTGTGTATGTGTGTATGTGTGTGTGTAAGTATGTGTGTTTGTGTATGTGTGTATGTGTGTGTGTAACATCGAAATACACGTCAGTCTCACAATCATTTGCAGATTTCTTTCTTTCATTTTTCTTTTTGCGTCTGTATACTTCTTTCTTTCTTCCTTTCTTTCTTTCCGTCTTTCTTTCTTTCTTTAACTTACGTATTTCCTCATTATCCATTGCCAACATTTCTTTCTTTCTTTCTTTCCTTCCTTCTTTCTTTCTTTCTTTCTTTCTTTCTTTCTTTCTTTCTTTCTTTAACTTACGTATTTCCTCATTATCCATTACCAATATTTCTTTCTTTCTTTCTTTCCTTCTTTCTTTCTTTCTTTCTTTCTTTCTTTCTTTCTTTCTTTCATTAACTTACGTATTTACTCATTATCCATTGCCAATATTTCTTTCTTTCCTTCTTTCCGTCCTTCTTTCTTTCCTTCCTTCTTTCTTTCTTTCTTTCTTTCTTTCTTTCTTTCTTTCTTTAACTTACGTATTTCCTCATTATCCATTGCCAATATTTCTTTCTTTCCTTCTTTCCTTCCTTCTTTCTTTCTTTCCTTCTTTCTTTCTTTCTTTCTTTCTTTCTTTAACTTACGTATTTCCTCATTATCCATTGCCAACATTTCTTTCTTTCTTTCCTTCCTTGTTTCTTTCTTTCTTTCTTTCTTTCTTTAACTTACGTATTTCCTCATTATCCATTGCCAACATTTCTTTCTTTCTTTCTTTCCTTCCTTCTTTCTTTCTTTCTTTCTTTCTTTCTTTCTTTAACTTACGTATTTCCTCATTATCCATTGCCAATATTTCTTTCTTTCCTTCTTTCTTTCCTTCTTTCTTTCTTTCTTTCTTTCTTTAACTTACGTATTTCCTCATTATCCATTGCCAACATTTCTTTCTTTCTTTCTTTCCTTCCTTCTTTCTTTCTTTCTTTCCTTCTTTCTTTCTTTCTTTCTTTCTTTAACTTACGTATTTCCTCATTATCCATTGCCAACATTTCTTTCTTTCTTTCTTTCCTTCTTTCTTTCTTTCTTTCTTTCCTTCTTTCTTTCTTTCTTTCTTTCTTTAACTTACGTATTTCCTCATTATCCATTGCCAACATTTCTTTCTTTCTTTCTTTCCTTCTTTCTTTCTTTCTTTCTTTCCTTCTTTCTTTCTTTCTTACTTTCTTTAACTTACGTATTTCCTCATTATCCATTGCCAACATTTCTTTCTTTCTTTCTTTCCTTCTTTCTTTCTTTCTTTCTTTCCTTCTTTCTTTCTTTCTTTCTTTCTTTAACTTACGTATTTCCTCATTATCCATTGCCAACATTTCTTTCTTTCTTTCTTTCCTTCTTTCTTTCTTTCTTTCTTTCCTTCTTTCTTTCTTTCTTTCTTTCTTTAACTTACGTATTTCCTCATTATCCATTGCCAACATTTCTTTCTTTCTTTTCTTTCCTTTCTTTCTTTCTTTCTTTCTTTCCTTCTTTCTTTCTTTCTTTCTTTTCTTTATCTTACCAATATTTTCTCATTATCCATTGCTTTCAACATTTCTTTTCTTTCTTTTTCCTTTCCTTCTTTTCTTTCTTTCTTTCTTTCTTTCTTTCTTTCTTTCTTTCTTTCTTTCTTTAACTTACGTATTTCCTCATTATCCATTACCAATATTTCTTTCTTTCTTTCTTTCTTTCTTTCTTTCTTTCTTTCTTTCTTTCTTTCTTTCTTTTCGTATTTCCTCATTATCCATTACCAATATTTCTTTCTTTCTTTCTTTCTTTCTTTCTTTCTTTCTTTCTTTCTTTCTTTCTTTCTTTCTTTCTTTCTTTAACTTACGTATTTCCTCATTATCCATTACCAATATTTCTTTCTTTCTTTCTTTCTTTCTTTCCTTCTTTCTTTCTTTCTTTCTTTCTTTAACTTACGTATTTCCTCATTATCCATTACCAATATTTCTTTCTTTCTTTCTTTCTTTCTTTCTTTCTTTCTTTCTTTCTTTCTTTCTTTCTTTCTTTTTCTTTCTTTTTTTTACCAATATTTCTTTCCTCATTATCCATTACCAATCTTTCTTTCTTTCTTTCTTTCTTTTCCTTTCTTCTTTCTTTCTTTCTTTCTTTCTTACTTTCTTTCTTTCTTTAACTTACGTATTTCCTCATTATCCATTACCAATATTTCTTTCTTTCTTTCTTTCTTTCTTTCTTTCCTTCTTTCTTTCTTTCTTTCTTTCTTTAACTTACGTATTTCCTCATTATCCATTACCAATATTTCTTTCTTTCTTTCTTTCTTTCTTTCTTTCTTTTTCTTTCTTTCTTTAA